TATGTATTGAGCTAGAGAAGGCAGTGCAGATCTGATATGAGTAAGTACAATATAGCAGTCATAACGCCAAAGCCTACACTTTTGGTGCAAGTACAGTAACTTGCAATCTCCGGGCTGTAGACTCGGTGTCCACAATCTCCGTGATACCCAGTGTTTGATTTATGTTGAGGTGGTGGATATAAGACAAATACAGTTTCCCGAGAGAAGCGCATTTTCAATGAATCCACTGATGCTATGTGTGTGCCGGTTAACATTTAGCAATATTGTAACATATATTCCACTATTACTTTTTGTAAACGACATTCAACAGTTTCATCTTCGTGCCAGCTCAGCAAATTTAAATCAAATATATGATTTGTTTGTGTTTATTTTTGCTAGTGTTTGAAAATAACTCCATTCAGTAATCGGTGATCACCAGTTATATTTCTAAGTTTTCGTTAGGTAAACAATATCACAAATATATTTTTTTCTTTGTGTTCATTTTTTTCTTTGTGTTCGAAAAAAACAAACCTGTTTCTGTAATCGTCGTCCACCAGTTTTATGTTCTTGTTTCTGTCAGGCAAACACAGACATCGAAATTAGCTCACTATAAAATTGTTCAATATCATTCAGCCTCAATTTTGTAAGGTGCCAACACGTAAACTTGAAAACCTATATTTATGGACGTGAGGCTACTGGACGGATCAACCTAGCGAGCCCGGTCACAACAACATGTCACAAGGGTAGGTTGGATGTTGCGTGGTGGTAGTAGTGGTGGTGGTTGTGTAGTACACATGTTCTTGTTTGCTTTATCTCCGACGGTGCAATTCACATTTTCATCATTTGCCACGTAACTTATACACGCAGCCTAGAGGGCAGTGATAGATAAGCCTAATGAATATGCATTTATAATAGGTCTTATCCACAAGACTGCGACCCGGAGCCTGATTGCACGTAAACATGGAGCACTTGACGCCATACTAGCGCTTGCGCTGGTAATGTATTTGATCGGTATCAGCTGTTTTGTTTTTGAAATCATGAAATGTAGAGCACTCCGTCAAACAACACGTCGCATGATGCATTATTCAGGGCGTCGGCGTGTCTATTTTGAGTCAATAGTTACACGCGCATGCGTACACAAGGTTGAATAACGCCACGCTTAACGAGCTATGCAAGTCTGGAGCAAACTGTTAATTCACAATGATCTCGCGATATCTCGCACATTGCGTGAATAACGCGGACCGAACGTTTGTCGCAAAAAATCGAATTTGTTTTGAACTTGAATTTCTTATTTTTATTGCTCAATTTCAAAATTCATAAACAATTAACATCATTAAATGTGTATAGGACATTACTAAGGGTAGAAGTACATCCCTAATACATTCGCGTTTGTCGAATCCCACGCGATGTTTTGACATCACTGCGACACTATCCCCTGGTTTTGACGTTTGATTTTACGCATAGCGCGGAATCTCACAGTGAGCGGGAAATGGTCCATCCCTAACAAACCATTTTGGTTATCATTTTCATCCATAATCATGTGAAGTGATGTTTATGAAGTCGTATCTCGCGAGATTTCGTTGGATCTGAGTGCATGACACCACCCACAATTCCTTGCGGTGAATCCAATGACGTCCCTTGCCCGACCTGGTCTACGCGATGTAAGTGTAGCCATATTGGAAGACATGAACCAACGGTTTGCACTTCTTTTTCTCAGAGTAATCTAGCCTTTGGCCCTTCTAGAAGCAATGGTATGACTGGAAACGCGAATAAGAATTATGTAAAATAAATCAGATAATGTCAAGAGTGGGGCAAGTATCCGCCATTATGTACGAGTGATTTAATGTGATGCTCGTCTGAGTAGCAGACGACATGTCAGCACGTATGGGGTTATATCTACTATCCCACGCTTCTCATCGCCACGTTGCCGTTACACTCACAGACATCCCAGGGTGATACAAAAGCATTATTGAGAGTAGAATCTTTCACCTTTTTTGTTGTGTATGATGTCAAACATGAAATTGCGCCCCTGTGTGTGGTATACTTATAGGGCGTACAAGGATTACAAATAGAACCGTATTCAGATTGCCTGGCGACAGTCCGCCAAGAAATGTGTATATCCACAGTGTTGGCACTTGGCGGTAAGTGTGTGTAAACATGGAAGTATAAAAAACCAAGCGGGGCATGCACGTTTTATGCATATTATATTAGATCAGTAATCTGTCAAGTCATACTAATTGACAACAGATTAAGCATGTTCGTCTAGATTGAAATTCGCAGGGTGCCATTATAAGGTGATTGAATCATACAAAGAGACAATAAATAATCCGATTTAATGATTTTTCCGGGATCACGATGTTCTGTTAGTGAAGTAACCTGATTGATATTTTTTTTACTACGCTCTAATATAGTGCGTACACTTGTTACGAAATTGTATTTGGTTGTTTATATTCGATTGATTTGTAATGATTACACGTACCGGAGGCGAGATTGTTATTGAGGGCAGTCGAAGTCAAAACGTGCTTAGTGTCTACTGAGTGAGAGTTTACGATTTAAGTGTCGAAACTACATTGACACCCACATTAATTGCAATACTGAAACTATATTCAAATCGTTAGGAACTACAAGTATTCTATTTTTATTGCTTCATTGCCATTCCTGCTTGTCTATAGTCGGAAATCGAACTGACGTCTGAAGCATAATTACAAAACAAACAATACATGTGTTTCTACACCGTTAGCGGTTTAAACCACGTTTATGTAAAATCGTATTCAACTCATGATCCGTACATGTATTCTCGTAACAAAAACAAGGATTCTTAAGACCTTGTCATACAAATAAATGATGTAATTATCGCGACAGCTATCTCCATAAAATAGCGATATGTAACAAATTGTCGCGGTTTGCCGTTCTAAAATATCGATAATCATCATTACCAGCGTCCCAAGTCATTATACAGTACATGGACCTGGCGCCTCGGCATCTTATATTGGGTCGGCGTACGTTTTTTTGGTACCCAGTGCGTACATGTAATTAGCATAGTGGCAGTAACAGACGCCCCTGCGGGAGTACGGATCACGTCAATAATAAAATCCTGTTCGCGCACGGCCTCGGGAAACATGTTTTAAGTGGATGTCCACCCTCTGGAGTAAGTGAAAGCATGTTCGCTCTCAGGGCCAGCATATGTAATTATGTTTTATCATGCTGTGTTTGACATTTTGTTACGGGTAATATTGAGAGGTGACCCCGGGTCATGTTTTATATGAGGTACTCGCGAGTCTCTGCGGTATGTACATGCTTGCTATAACCTGACCTCTGCATTTGTCTCGTCTAATTTTTATCTTGCCACGTTTCCGATAGTTGCAACCCAATTTGTAAAGGCTTTGCGACAGACCTATAAATAAAATGAGTTATCAAACAAGTAAATTAAATTAAATCCAATTCAACATTGATGGCTATTCGTGAAACTAATACAAATAGTTATAAGTTCATTGATGACATCATTATAATAAATACGAGTACAGGACTGGAATATCAATATTCCGATTCACTTGTTTTACACACCGTGAACACAAACTGCACTAAAACGGCATAATGACTGTGCCAGGGGCGGATATAGATGAGGTGCGCCGCGTTCCTTACTCGTATACGCGTTACCACTGCCGGATCCAGAAATTCGATAGGGGGCGCTTCTATTGACGTGGGCTGGGTTTGTCAATTGATTTGTAATTTCTTGGCGGGGTGGGGGTTAGGAGTTGGCGCGCCTCCTCCTAAATCCGCGCGTGATTACTCATAACCTAATCCGGTTATGTCGTCATTATACAGGTGCGTCCCTCTAGTCAGAGGGCATGCATCCGTTCCTAAGTACGTTGTTAGCTTACATACGTCACATCTTTACCAAATGTCACACCGTATGGGTTATATAATTCAATCTTGTTTATATAGTTCATAGTTAAAGTATAGATTGTTTCTGCTACGACAATGCTGTATTCGTTGTATGTTTGGACGTAAACCCCGGATGTAGATTTGTCCGTTAAAGGAAACATCAATCCAAACAACATAATGACCTCTAAAGAAAAAGCTCTACAAATGTAGGAGAATGCAATTTACAGTTTTTTCATATCACTTTTCAATCTCTAGATATTCAACTTTACATCAGTATTATGTAGTCAGGCATTTTGATTCTCAAGCAAAGGATTATGGGTAAAGTATGACATCATAGAATCTGTCATCAGAAATTGAGAAAATTATTTCATCTATGTCATGAGAAATACTGATGCGAATTAATTAAAATTTTCGTTGTGCATATTACTCATGTATATAATTATAGTAATGGAAATTAGAATATTACAAATACACATAAAGTAAAGATATTGCTAAAAACGTAAAAAAAATAAAAATCTATATTTTAGTCGTGAAATATAGAATGACACTTTTTTGTCCCCTTTTTGTGGTCAACATATAATATATCACCCATATAACCTACTCACATTGGTTAGTTGTATACAATATAAGGAAATTTGAGCATTTGGTAGAAAAACATAAAAATAAATTTTTCAGTTCAGTTTCCATACAACTATTTTATAAACATGGGTGGCACCAGCACATTTTTGTTACCAATTTCCAAACTTTCAGCCAATTTGAAGTTCAACTTGTGAAGTTATAGATGAAATCATTTTCTGACAACAGATTATATGATGTCGTACTTTACCCATATTTTTTGCTTGAAAATCACGATGGCTGACTACATAATATTGATGAAAAGTTGAATACTAGAGAATGAAGAGTGATATAAAAAAACTGTAAATTGCATGCTCTTACATTTGTGAAGCTTTTTCTTCAGAGGTCATTATGTTGTTTGGATTGATGTTTCCTTTAAGGCTTGAAGTGTGGCATAACGTGCAATAGTTTTTGTTAAACTGAGATGGTGAATATTTATATCACATCACAGCCAAACTGTCTCGCTCACGCTGTTTTCTTTTTTTCAGGTGACGTTAATGATAAGGATTTAACTTATAACTATGGCAACTCTAGGAAATATGAAAATCGGACTGTCTGTTCCACGACACGCGAATGTGCTTAATAATATGAATATTGATACTGAGCGGCAAACAACTACTCCTTCTAGACATCGAACGTTTACTAAAGAAGAACTAAAAACAAAATGCCATCCTCGTCAGTGGATCCACGTCATATCATCGCATGTTGGACTCGTACTTTTATTTTTCACGTACGTTGTCATTGGGGCTTTCATTTTTCAAACTATCGAGGCACCCCGCGAGAGACAGGAACGTCAGCGACTGACCGAAATGAGGCAAGTACTCGTGAAGACGCTATGGGGTATATCGGCAACAAATCAAACAAACGGAACCGTTTTAATACAGTATTATTTAGGCGAGTGGGAAGAGGCAATATTGAACAGTCGTATTTCATTAAGTGAAAATGAACATCATTGGACGTTCACCGGTGCTGTGTTCTTCTCCTCGGCAACAATAACAACAATAGGTAAGTATTCTGACAATGGTGGCGCTATTTACTTAAACACGCTAGGACAGATTAAAAGGTGCATTTTATTGTAACGAGAAACAAATCTTGAGGTCACTACGCAGTGTCGTATAAATCAGTCGAGGATACTTTTAATCATAAATGCGTAAATAATTTACGATTTGTTGTTAGTCCCTTCGCAAGTTTATTTTCGGATACATTTGGCAAAGTGTATTTCTAAATGCTACCCTAAAACAATTATCTGTGTTCTGATGTTAGTGATTCTCTATCTGTACATGGTGCATTTCTAGAAGACGCTAAGGGTTGCGGGAAACCTAGTAAATGAACTAAGATAAATCAAATATATTTAGTTCGTAACCAATTTATAAAGTTAGTAATTTAAAGCGCTACAGTCCGAGGCGTCGCACCGCGTTCTGTTCGATACGGATCGCGTCGCGTCCTGCTCGATACGGGTCCCACAGCGACGTACACAACGCGTGTAAAATACATTGTTTATTTCTGCGTGTCGATCATCTTGTAGCAGGGCATGAAAGCATGATAGTAAACTTTTAAAATTAGGAACGGTCAGGCGAATTGAACATACATGTCTTAACCGACAATGGTTTTAGGCCACAGTTCGAACAACGTCGAATATGCAAATAAGCCATGTGCATAGCGCGTTTCGAAACATCAACACTGGCGGCGCTCTCATTCACTTGCTGCAACTGGTAGTTATTTATAGAAAAGTACGCCATGTTACGTAGTTTATTTATTAGCCACTGGCAATTTGTTGCATGTTTTGAGTTGTTGGTATTCAAAAAAAAAAAAAAAAAAAAATAGGTATGTTTGTGGTCACGCATCAGTTGCAAATGCCGCGTTCGGATTTTTATATTTTTATATGAAACAAGGAAAACAGAAAGAAATGTACCTGCCGAAAAAAACGCATCAACGCTTAGATTTTAAAAGAAACTTTGGACCAGAAGCAGGTTTTTTTTTCCTATAAAATATGGAAATTCTCATATGCCCATTGACACACTAAATACAACATCACGACCTCATGCATATATTATTAATGTAAATAATTTTATGTGAATGTGAAATGAATTCCATTGAATATTAGTAATTCACAGCTCATGGTTTGTTTCCTGTTTTGATATCAGGTTACGGTAATATTGCTCCTGTGACTACCATTGGACGTATACTATGTATATGTTACGCCTTCATGGGCATTCCAATTACTCTATTGGTGCTGAGTGACGTTGGTGAGTAACAATAACTAATGTATTATTTGACATTACTTAATTACTAACAATACACATTTAAAGCGGGAGAGTCACCTGCGCACGCGCGGGAATTGAGCCCCACGCGACGATAACAACACACACGCTAAAAACGCAAAGACTCATGGTTAGACGCTTGTTTGTAAACAATGACACGCTATGGCCACTTGACGCATGCGCTGCGGACGACTGCCCCGCTTTAACATAAACAAAAACACAACATATTCATTTGCTCTTTAAAAGAAAACTGTTGAACAGGTATCACTTGATTTGCAGCGGACATTAAAATAAACAGATCACGAAGACCGTCATTTACCTGTCATTTCCCCTTTGAATATCGCTTTGAAGATTGTTAGTGCGGTTTTTGACTTCAACAATTTCAACCATGAATGCCAATGCCACTTGCCAATTACAGAACACCTTTTTTTTTTTAATTTTTTGTATTTACCCACGTAACTGGCAAGAAAATATAAATTTCTAAAATATCATATCTACACTTGAACACAATTAATTATTGTGTGAACAACTCAATTTCAAATACCCCCATTGTACTTTTGATATGCAAGCTTTCAACTGGTGAATTCAAAGTCATTGCAAACTTTAATAATCATAGGCTTTTCATTATCAGCCACCCCCCCCACCGAGTGGTGTTCTTCCAATCGGCCATTTTGTCCACGGCGCCTTGGTTTGTGACTATGAGGATTCATCGTCGCAACACGAAATGCAACTGAAATCATATATCCCTGGTTTTTTATTTATGCTATTTTTTTCAATCATAGTTACATGCAAATTAGGATTAATGAGGAGCCTCGTTATGAAATGCGATGAGAGTAGACAGAAACTGTGAGACAAAAGCTTTTCATTAAAATTCTTATTTTGTGCTCAATATTTGTAAACTATCCACATCGCGTAGTAAGCGTTTTACATGCACTTCAAAGTTCAAACCTTTGAAGATGTCACGTCGCCCTTTTTTGAATTCTTCCCGTAAACACGCAAGAAACGCGGCATTGGACACATATTAGAACTTAAATCCTGTACCTTTTCGCAGTCTACATGTATAGCCAAATATGTGTTCCAGTCGCTACTGCTGGTTGACGCAATCTACGCCAGCAGGAAACAACACAAAAACGAAAGCCTGATCGCGATCGGGGCAGTTGGGCAATAATGGCTGCATGTTTTTCGTGCCCATGACATCACTTCCGCCAGTTCATTGTAGTAACACCGCATGTTACTGATGACTGCAAAAATCAGGCACATTTGCCCTCATTTCACGCACTACATTCAACCAATTTGGAATCATTGTGAGTAAATTCAATAGATTTTGTGACTTTACCTGAAAGGGTAAAATATCACGTAGGTGAGAGCTGTTCAGCTCATTCAAATCTGTCGCGGTTTCCGGTGAAAGTAACGGTTCTCAATGCCCAGTTCGGTTCACAAGGGATTGCGCGGTGCCAGCATGTCCGACGTCTCCCTCAGGCACACTAAACTGCATAGAATTTTAACTCTAATTCTAACCAAAGAAATGATCATTTTTCTTTCTTAGGTGGCTTACTTGCAAGATGGGGCAAAATAGCAGCAATAATTGTCACACGCAAAATAGAGAAGCGGAAAGAAAGACGCAAAGAAAGGGGGAATCGAAGAATGCCCACTATTATGGTTGAGGACTTGGGGAATAAAATGACGAAGGAGCGATACCCATCTAAATATTCAGTAGTACCTAATGACGTCACCGACTCACGTGACGAGAAGATGGCAGGAAGCAGCTATGATGACGTCCCACGCCGTGACGTCAGTCGGGGTCCAGACATTCGGCAAATGAATGATACCGTGTTATCAGCACGTGTTTGGGACCGACTCATGAAAAGTTCAGTGACTTCCGATATCAGCCGAAGTGAGCCCGACTTGAGATCCGACAGAGATGCCCAAATAACAGCAATGAAACTCAATATGAATAACCCACAAGGCACGCGGGATGTCATTGAAAAGGACGCAGATAGCAATTCCACTGTCAATGAAAGTTACTGCGGTTCCAGGCGTCCGAGTGGACAGTTTCTCGAGGTAGTTGACAGGAACGCCATTGGCGAATCGCAGGATAACATATCTGAAAGCAGCAAATCGTCGCAACGAACAAATGTCATCCTCGTTCCAGAGCCAATTGCACAGAACCAAAAAAGAATAACGATGTCACGTGGTAAAAAATCTGATGTCATCGTTGCAAACGAGTCGACTGGCAAGTCTGGGGTTAAAGAGAGCGAGATTGCGACGTTTCATTTTCCGATATGGCTAGCAATTGTAATATTAATTATCTATCTTTGTCTCGGGGGCTTCGTTTTTTCTCTGATTGAGAATTGGTCTTTTTTCGAGTCTTTTTATTTCTGTTTTATTTCGCTAAGTACAATCGGCTTCGGGGATGTCATACCTGAAAACAAAGGCACAATTTTGACATTATCGATCGCCTATGCCATATTAGGCCTGGCATTGACATCCATGTGTATCTCATTAGCATCAACTGCCATTTTAAACAGTCTTTCTCGTCTTGGACAACTCACTGAATACTACAAAACGCGCCAATGGAAAAACGTCAAAGTCTATAGGTCTTTGTATGTTAGAGGGCGATCGCTACGACGTAGGTTTTCGAGTCGAAGGCGAGGCAGGGCCGGCCAATTTGCAGCGTCAAAGCGTACACCGAAGCGAGGTTCTTCTCTCCGGCTTCCTGGGAAATTTGCGATTGTACGAATGGAAACGCCAAGCAGTTCACCACAGCTATAGCGAATGACGTAGTTTTTTTTCTGAGTTTGGGGAAAAAACTCGGGCAGGTATTCTAACTGTCGGAAATTTTAGTATCCTGTGGATCACGTTGGTACTGCATTACGTCGCTAAAACGACGTATTTATACGTTCGCAATATAAAAAAAATACTTAAAATAATCGTTTTGATCCGTCATATGCATCCGGGTACTCCCAGAGACTGTGATTCACATAAAATTACAGTACTAACGTTTATTGTAGTTTATTGTAACACACATGCTAGCTGTTCCCTCTTACCAATAACGACGATAACGACGGTTAATATCTGGATGCGGACTGTGTTGATACGCCAAATGGTATATTTGTTAAACCATTTTTATAATACTTTGTTATTCGCGCCTTATTTACACTTTAATATGCATCGCTTTGTCTGATTTACAACGAACCCATATTCTCGGTGATATCACCAGAACAAAAGGTCTGGGGTATATCTGATTATGACCATATATGGTATTATATCTATATAACCATATTCATATATGGAAGTAAACCCATATATGGCAAAGTGAGATCCTTGAATATCCAATCGGCAATAACTAGCACATACATTTAAATAGACTATAAGAGGAACTGACGCGTCACCATTCGAATAATTATTCTGCAAAGCGTGTCAATCATGAATACTATTAAATGTGCCTGCATATAGTCCTATCTTAGAGCCCCCTGGTATCGCAGTCAGATTCCTACCGCACATTATTGTACGACTGAAAACTTGTTTATTTCCAAATGACATATAATCAGTATGCTCTTTCCCGGGTAGCAATGCTTGGATAGAATTTTATATGACGAGCCATTGCAAACAATACCGGTGGTCTCTAATGCATAACTGTATTTTTTTTCTTCTTAAAAATATACAATCCTACTAAAACAACTTCTTTCGACGTAAGATTCTAATCTATAATCCACTCTGGTAATATTTCTATCTCAATATCTTTCCAACCCAACTCTTTTTCTGTCCGATGTAATTTTAAGATAACCTATCACATTATAAAGTAATGTAACACAATCAAGTAATCGTCTACAATCGGCGACTAATGTCCACGCTCTACGCAATTAGTCTGTTATACGATCTGTCTTGAAATCATCCCATATTGGGATAAAATTACTATTATTACGTGAGACACACGCGATTATTATAGCAATTTAAATATATTTAACGTTACAAGGACTGGCCAAGAGATCGAACAGTATTATTTATTTTTTTCGCCAAATTAGTAAACTTGAGTTTCAAAAACATCGGTACCTAGGTTGATTATTACAGTTTCATTTTCGCTGTTTACGCAAGTAGTACGTTGTGTGCTGTTTAGCCTCAGTTTTATAAGTTAAATGGTGGGATAAAAAATGCATTAAATGTTATTATATTGCTAAGTTTAACATATCCAACAACACAACTTTAAGTTTGTATAAAATCCCATGTTCTTGTCAGAAAGTGTTTAGGGGAAGAAATCAGTTATCATTTTATATTTTATGATAATTTAGTTCCCAGCCTATTGTCTAATTTTCCCCGAGTTTCAAAAAAATGTTTTAAATTGTTCATAATTTTTTTTTTACTATTCTTCCTTGAAGTCATGTGAATTAATTATGTAGTCTGAATAAAATAAAAATAAGTTTTTTTTTTCGAAGATGTGGTTCATTAACTCATTGTCACCGTATGACCTACATACAGCTTTACATTTTCGTCTTCTTAAAAACCGTTATTTTGCCGTGGGTGCTTCTCCCACTGATTTGTTTGTTCATGACGATGACTTCCATTTTCCAATTATGCTATGTGTTATGTTCTTGACATAAGTACACCCAATGGGATCTTCTATTAATATCATTCGCAACATATTTTAAGTAATTTTTAGTACACAAAGGTTATCTTCGAATTCAAGTACAGAATAGATTTATTTTATACTTGATCTTGTTAGTCCTCGTTCGGATTTGTCATTATACGACAATACATTCGAATTGTAGTTAATATTTGTTTTGAAAATCGATAGAATACCATTAAATACACTAAATGGCGTTGATGAAACTGTACTGATCAGCCTCAAAGGTCGTCGTGAAACGTCGTGCTCGATATGGTCCCATAGCGACGTATACAATGCACGTAAAATACATTGTTTTTTAATAACGTGATACTACAGTGAATTTGTTAACAAAATAGTACAATGACATGCACCACGCGACAGTCTACATTGCATGATGCAACTGAAAGCCCATAGAGATTTCTTCTGGCGCCGTAACTCACTGAATTCGGATTAATAATTCAATGATTTGAAGATGATCTTCCTTATGAAAATATGAATTCAATACGAAACATTAACATTAAGATTTGTCGGCGACGTACACACAGCATGTGTTTCTTCCTGTATTGCCTGTAGCATGTCACGTTTTGTACGCATATATAACGTATATTTTATATATTACGTCATAGCTAAAACACATTATTTGAAACCGCGATGCATGATGGGTTTATAGGTTGTCTTGTCTATACGCATAATTACTCGATCCAGCAGAATCCAGCGCGGAAAACTCACGAACGCCAATTGCAAGTTACTTTTTGTACTTTCCGTAAAATATAGGGAATGATCAAAGATTACTAACAATCTGAAATGCGGTATTGTCCTGAACGTATTGTTTCGGGAATTGAGAACATATGTGTAAAACACGGTCCCAGGCCCAGATACAACAATGCGTTAAATAAACAAAACACAATTAAAGATAATACGACATAATAGTGAAACACTATGTGTAGAAATACAATAATAATAAACAAATAATTGCTCCTTTTGACAACTATTTTCCATATTTCTATAGTAGATGGCGCTATATTCAAGATAGGTTTACATCAAGTTCAGTTTTATAATTTTTTTTTTCTGATAAAACAAAATCATTTTGGAGAAATGGTCCGTATTCTTTTCAATGAACGATGTGCCATAAGATGGGATACCAAAAAATTGTAACTAAAAAGTATTTTCATAATATTGACAAACGACTGGAGGCACTACAACGCCCTCTTCTGTTGAATTATAGGGAATTCTTCTCAACAGAAGTGTTTTTATTTGTTGTGTTGAACTTTTATTCCGTGTTTTATGACAACAACAGAGAACCAAACTGCTCAAATGAAATGATATGTTTCTTTAAGACATTCTCATAGCTATGAGAGGCGGTCTCAAAAGTGCACAATATAACCATTTGGGTATCATGAGAAGATGCAAACGTACCAGAACAAGCAAATGTAAATTCATTTAACTACATAGTGATTCCATTACCTTGTCGTGATTCGTACACTCACCCTAACAAACTTACAAAATATCAGTATTGTATTAAATTTACGAAGTTAACACGTTAATTAAAACAATTTTGCTCGAAGTGTCACTGGAGAAGTATTCTTGGATTTGTATTTGAGAGAGAGCACACACTTATATGCAATACTACTGTTTTCTGAATCATTTTTAATCAATTCGAAGATTAAATGAAATGTTGATATGTACAACTGAATTGAACTCGTATTTTTTAATGTTGTTTTATTCGATCATCTTACAGCGGGAGGGTCGTCACCTGCGCACGCGCGGGAATTGAGTCCCAAGCGACGATAACAACACACGCTAAAAACACAGAGACTCATGGGTAGACGCTTGTTTGTAAACAATGACACGCTATGACCAACTGACGCATGCGCAGGTGACGACTTCCCTGCTTTAATAGAGGTGACAATAAACAGTTTATGACACAATTTCATTTGAACCCACATACTTGATTTACAAAGTTAGCACAGAGTAACGTATACTAGCTACTCGTATTATTTCTCCCATTAGTTCCATTATGCTTACCTTGTTAAAATAATAATGCTGAATGCCCATATTCTTCCGTGGCAAATAGAAAAAAAAATGTGACGCCATCCCGCGGTTGGGATTAGTGACGTCATGAACGGCTTTCATATCCTTACAAAGACGTCTCTGTCGTAGAGGGCACAATTTACAGTTCTTTGTAACTAGCTGGGCACTCAATGTGTTGATGATGCGGGTGGCACAAATTATAGTTAGGCAGATAATTTAATAATTAATTAAAGAAATTATGACCATTTAATACACAAAAGTTCAATGACCTATTGTCATCATTGTAGACACTTGTATAAGCTTGAGTATATTTGATAATACTTCGGTAAAATCTGTGGCAATATTTTAATTCAAAAAATATTTACAGTTGCAGATAGCATAGCTTTTTACCCTGTGATGATGTTTCATTTTTTCCTGTCATCGCGTCCTCTATTCCAAATACTATCTTACGTGGACGCGATGGCGGGAGGGGATTTAACACTATTTGAAGGACGAAAGCAAGTCTCGTGGATCTTTGAGACCGCAATCTAATCACATCATCGCAAACCACGACCCTTTTACGGGAAACAATTTGGGCAAAAAAAACTGGCTCTGGCGGGTGAAAATGATTAATTAGAGCGATGGGTCGTTGAGATAACAAGGTATCATTTGTAATCATACATGAAAACGACATTAGGGAATGACCATTTATTATTCTTGAGAGGTCGGGAAAAACAGGGGGGTTTCCCAGCATATTTCCCAAAGCCACAGAGCGGGGGGGGGGGGGGGCAGTGATTTTGATCAAGGCTGAATGGGGGGCGAATATTTTTCTCTTAAAGATTTAGACACATTTTTTGTTACTTTACACTTATTTTATTGAACACAAAATAAATAAACTAAATATATTTAAATGCAATAAAATAAAAATATACATATAGAAAGTATTTGTAAAATAATATATATAACAAAAGTAAACATGAAATGTTAGTACATGCAAATCTCTTGTGTTTAAAATATGTGTAAATATAATTAAAAGAAGTATCCATTATTGCAAAACGGGTCTATTTAAAACTGACAATCCATCTACACTGCCACCTAAACCACTGGCAACAGACCATCACCAGGAGCAACATCCTCATTGCCACCAACACAAGTGGTATTAGACCCACTACGATGACAATATCATCACTACCACCTACACCACTGCCCAACTGAAAAGAGGTATTTGACCCACTACCATCGTTACCACTGCCACCTACACCAGATTTGCTGCCACTACATGTGGACCTACCAACATCATCACTACCACCTACACCACAGTCCCACTGAAAAGAGGTATTTGACCCACTACCAACGTCATCACTGTCACCTACACCAGACCTGCTGCTACTACATGTGAACCTACCAACATCATCACTGCCACCTACACCACAAGCATCAGCCCCACTGCTATCACCAGTAACAAAATCTTCATTACCACCAACAAAAGTGGCACCCACTACTGTTGCTAGTACCAATATCATCACTACCACCTACTCTACAGACATCCGAATCTGATGACTCTGTGGATGATGATGACATTGTGGACCAGGAAATAGGCAGCAGCAGTGAAGAAGATGAAAGTAGTGACAGTGATGATAGTGATATGTTAGAACAGACTGTAGTAACCAGGTTTGGACGACAAATATGTCATGGAAAGCTCACATTGACATTGAATTATTGCACCAAAAAATGGTTTGATTTCACAACTACGTCATTTTGTATCTAGACATATCCTTATTCTCTTATACAACTCCTTACTTCTTCCACACATTACATATTGCCTCGAAATCTGGGATAATACATATGCAACTCTACTTCAACCAATACCGGTATATCTCTTACAGAAAAAAAATAGTACGCCTCACCATTTTCTCATGCTGCTCCTCTTTTCCAAAAACTAAGAATACTAGAATTTTTTTTTTATTTGTCTTTGATCTCAGTTATAAATATTTTGTACATGATATTTACAATTACTTAGACCCATTATCCCATAATTATCCATCCCACTTAGCCTGTAGCTTGAATTATTATACTCCAAAACTGAATCTCACACTCAACCAACACAGTCTTAAATACTCTGCAACAAAACATTGGAACTCATTGCCTGATGCAATTAAAACCATCACTAAGAGACATATATTCAAAGCAAAGTTAAAAACTATCTCTTCAATATTTAATTTGGACCGACTAGTATATCTGTAATCCACACCAAAAAAAGGAAATTACTCTAAGTATAATTCGTTATATATTTATATATATTTACTACCTGTACAATTTCTAACTTTAATGTTTTTTGTTTTTGATTAAATAAAAAATTCATCCATTCATTCACAAGCAGGCTCATTGAAACATGCAACTCATCGCAAATTATAATTCAGTTTTCAGTTTTGTTTACAACTAATAACCAACACTTAGTCCAGTATTGTCAAATCAGACAGAAAAAATACTTAAAATGGCTCACCCTGAAAAAAGATGGTGGCCATGTAGCAAAAGATCAAAAAATAAATGAAGATAGATTTGTTGGCCTTGAGTGCATAACCTTATTCATAGACTGGCCACAGTCGGGGCGTTTTTTCAAACAGAGGTGTAATTTTTAATTAAAACAAATATGTTACCCACTCGCCGTTCGCGGTGAGTGGGGTATTTCGCAAAAGTATTTCTTTAATTTACTTGAGACAGGATAAATATAATCTCCCGACTGTATCCAGTCTACCTTGTTCATTGAAGAGAATGTTCTAATTTATAACATGGACTTTATTCAGGCAAGTGAGCAGAACTGTTACTATAAATTTCAAAATATGTCAATTTGTATATTTTTACTTCACAGAAATGAAATCTGCCGAAAAGCAGTGCACAGTGGATTGCTTGTAGTAGTGTTTATTTATCAAAATGCTTTTTCGAGGCGACAGTATTATCTCTACTTTTTATAGTAAAACATTTTATCCACAAATTAGACAGACGGAAGTTCTCCACTCATCCTCTCACTAAATAATTTTCACAAGTATTTTTGTTGCTTCATATACATGTAAAAGATCAATAAAAATACATGAATATATATACATATACATATATACATTGGGGTCCATTGATTTTTTTGAAAGAGTACCGAGAATTGCCCGACCCCCTTAGAAATAATAAATGGTCATTCCATTAGTGTCGACCAACGCGCAGTGTCTGAGTGCATATTTTGAGGTATTCTCGTAATAACCTTATTATTATCCTTCCAAGGATACGCCATGGGAATGCCGAAATCCAAAAAGTTTAGAACAGAATTAGCGAACTTCTTTGTGCGGCAACGGTGTTTGTTTTTATTATTAGAAGACGCTTACGCGCGTAATCGTTCAATATTTGGAATTCGTATTTCCTAATATGGTTGGATGAACATACCCCGTAAAACACCGCAAATTACGGCACGCTGTAAGCGGTAGTCCAATCTTCCTTTGTCGGCAATGCCCGTGATGTTATTCAACAACGTCAATGACAATTTAATTTATAAAGTTGTAAGAGGAAGTCCACAAAGTGAAAGAAGGAAGAATTTGATTGGAAAAATTGGAAAGTACGCAGTGAATATTGGGCATACTCGCCGATAGAATTTGCGAGAAAAACATGACAAGCTATTAATTACATACGATAAACGATATTATTGTAACGTGCGACATATTTAACGAAGGAGGTCAAGGAAAACCTAGCACTTAAATCAAGTTTGAACAGTGCATATTGCTAGATGGAGTTACGCTACAAATAATTGCAGTATACTTCAGTTCAATTTTGATGAGTATCGTCAACCAATGAAATCTTGAGTCAATTGATTTTCAGTAAACAAATTCTAAGAACTCTAATGACGTTGTTAACTTTATACCCTGTATAAATATGGTCAGAATATACAATCCAAAAGTTCCGCGATGGCGAAGTATAAATACAACTTCTGATAATGGAATGTTGTTCATGAATGCAATGAATGTTATTCATATGTGGACTTAAACAACGACTAAGCAGCGCTAGTTAACAGCTAGTGTTGTCACTGCAGATGGAGTAGACGGCGCCCTCAGTTGATGCAAATTAAATTGAAACTGCAGATTTCATTTCCTTGAGTGCCCAAATAATTGCGCGTTATAAAACAATTGCATTGTTAAGTGATCCTATGTATCTTAATCGTTGTTTTGAAACAATGTTTTGAAACGCTCTGTTTCTACACTACATGGTATAACAGTGGTGAAATTTAGGGGATACATGCGCCAAGGTGAAATAGTATTAGACGAGAGCGTCAGTACCATGTAAGGTGTAGTATTAGTACTAGCCTGTAGGATGGTTATTACAGAGATTCTGTGTGGTGAAATCAAGAGAACGTAGAGAGGCAGAAAATGTTACGTATTATGTAGTATACACGTACTGTAGTGCATGACATATATACAGTCACGTAGTTGCGTTCATTATTCGCATCATTGAGTAGATCAGATCAGAATATCAGATTCTAAAAAAAACACGATTGGAAAATGTAGATGACATCTTCATTCCGTGGTGATAATACATTCGTTACCATGAAACAAGTTAAAGAAGGTTTTACGATTTTCGAGGTTTCCGGATCAATATTCAATCTGGAGTGAGCATTTTTAGAGAGAATTTGTTTTTGACAATGTAAAAGTTTTATTTTTTTTCAAATACAGCATTTCAAAAACTGTTCAACGGATTGTCGGTAGTATGTCTGTAGATATTTGGCTGTAGGTAGAAAACAAATGCAGGCAAGGCAAACCAAGACGTAGTCCACTAGCCGACAGCGTTACGAGCACGTTACGCAATTCACCGAACAATTCGCGCGACGGAATAGTAAAAAAAACGACAATAGCGATATTGGCCGTCACTTCAAATAACTTTGGTACAGCATATAAATCACCGCATTCGCCTATATCTAAGCTTTCAGAATATATATTGGTTGTTACAGTAGCATGCTATGTAACCTTTTGATATGTCTGAAATAAGTTGTAACTCGTTAATCATCACTTTCATTTTTTTTACAAAATATAACATGACCTATCTCACTTTGTCTACTGCTAATTTAGCTAGAAATAAGTTTCATCGTGAATATATTGTCGGTTATATTTGGTCCTATTCTTTTATTCTTGCATTTGTTTACTCGGGTTGAGACACGATTTGCCTCCCTGACAATTTCCACGAGGTTTTTCCATCCCTAAATTTCAAAATGGCGGCGGTATTATGAACAGAATTCCGGTGTTTGCCGATGTTGATACTTACTGATGATTATCGTTGAGAGTCTCTAGAGATTTTTTACAGATTAAGTAATTCCTGTGGCCAAGGAAGAAGTTCGGTCTTTGGCATTTCATGTGTGTTTACATTGCGGGATGGCTATTGAGTATAACATCGATCACCCTGTAGTGTAGATTGTAATCATCCACGACGCTGTGTACGCACCGTCAGTGACTGGACGTAACCACGCAATACTTGAAACTGGTAACGTTTGATTGAGTGAGTGAGTTAGCGAAGTATGTAAATTTATAAGAAGTTTGTTTAAAATGGTTTGCGAATCTCACGATTATTATGCATTTGACAAATAAATGTATAAATTGCAGTGACAACAGTCTGACCGTTGTCAGTTATTTGTATGAATTGTGTGGTGGTTTTGTAGAAATTTAACAACTCATTCTGCTGCTAAAACGAATTGAAACAATGGACGACCATTGGAATATTGTGCTCTGAGACATAGTGACGTCATCATCACCTTGTACTTGGTAATTTTAGGTTCACGTGGAGTTGATTGTTTGTTGGCATAGCAACACGTTTATTAAATATCTACTGATGTTCCAGAATACTCAGGCTAATAAAACGAATATCACAAACATCACCTTATCAAATGATACAAATATTATAATTAATCAGTTGTCGAACTATTCAGACTTGTTTTATTTTTTGATACTATTATTTTACTTCTGACGATCAAGGTGAAACATTGAAAGGATTCGTGTGAATCGTATTATTTCTTTGTTATGCAACCGGCCTAACTTGTTTCATACGCACAAGTAATCTCATGTTCAGACAACCCAAGTAAAAAGTTATTGACCTTCGACCATTTTACGATCTTTGCCCCACTGCAAATACGGGTACATGTGTATAGATGTGTGTCGGCTAAAGGTATTTTTTATTTTGACGACTTTATTTAGCAGATTGGTTTGGTATATTTAGGTGGCGCACCGCCACCAAGGTTGTATCACTGACGGGTTCCACATTCACACTGTTAACACTTGGATGAATGTAAATTCAAACAACACCTTCTCATTATCAGTATTTGCTTTAGTTAAAATGACACAGTCGTCGTCCCGCGTCGAGTTCGACATGAGTCTCTTGTAACGTATGCAGCGTCTGTTTGAATACTTTGGTATTAAAATCAAACGCTAGTCACAACGATGTTAGAAACACAACAGGAGCACATATCATTTACAAGCCCCATAACAGAACATTCTAGTGATCA